TGTATAATCCTAAGGGATTTGATTTAGGTCATACATGAATGGTCTTGTGGTTTTCCGCACTTTCTTCAATTTATGTCTGAATTTGGCAATAAGGTGTTCATGATCTGAGCCACAGTCAGCTTCCAGTCTTGTTTTTGCTGACTGTATAGAGCTTCTCCATCTTTGGCTGTAAAGCGTATAATCAATCTGATTTCGGTGTTGGCCATCTGGTGATGTCCATGTGTAGAGTCTTCTCTTGTGTTGTTGGAAGAGGGTGTTTACTATGACCAGTGCGTTCTCTTGGCAAAACTCTATTAGCTTTTGCCCTGCTTCATTCTGTACTCCAAGGCCAAATTTGGTTGTTACTCCAGCTGTTTCTTGACTTCCTACTTTGCATTCCAGTCCCCTATAATGAAAAGGACATCTTTTTTGAGTGTTAATTCTATAAGGTCTTGTAGATCTTCAGAGAACCGTTCAACTTCAGCTTCTTTAGCATTACTGGTCGGGGCATAGACTTGGATTACCGTGATATTTGAGTGGTTTGCCTTGGAAAGGAACAGAGATCATTCTATCGTTTTGGAGATTGCAACCAAGTACTGCATTTCGGACTCTTTTGTTAACTATGATGGCTACTCCATTTCTTCTAAGGGATTCCTGCCCACAGTAGTAGATATAATGGTCATCTGAGTTAAATTTACCCAGTCCAGTGATTTTTAGTTCGCTGATTCCTAGAATGTCGATGTTCACTCTTGCCATCTCCTGTTTGACCACTTCCAATTTGCCTTGATTCATGGACCTAACATTCCAGGTTCCTATGCCATATTGCTGTTTACAGCATCGGACCTTACTTCTATCACCAGTCCTATCCACAACTGGGTGTTGTTTTTGCTTTGGCTCCATCCCTTCATTCTTTCTGGAGTTATTTCTCCACTGATCTCCAGTAGCATATTGGGCACCTACTGACCTGGGGAGTTCCTCTTTCAGTATCCTATCATTTTGCCTTCTCATACTGTTCATAGGTTTCTCAAGGCAAGAATACTGAAGTGGTTTGCCATTCCCTTCTCCAGTGGACTACATTCTGTCAGACCTCTCCACCATGACCTATCTGTCTTGGGTGGCCCCACACGGCATGGCTTAGTTTCATTGAGTTAGACAAGGCTGTGGTCCTGTGATCAGATTGGCTAGGTTTCTGTGATTGTGGTTTCAATCTGTCTGCCCTCTGATGCCCTCTCTTAGTGCCTACAGTCTTACTTGGATTTCTCTTACCTTGAAACACAGTTTATAGTATTCTAATTCAATTCTCTCATTTTATGCAAGAGTAGTGGAGGCCAAAAAGGGTGAAGGAGTTTGCCTGTGATCTCACAGATAGTCACTGGTAGAACAAATAGTACTAGAACTTAAGTCTCAAATGCTGTATTTAATTCTTCCAAGAAACCTTCATGAATTTCCACTCTGCAGTTTAATTGAATACAGTTACCCAAAGCCTTGCCTCTTTTTCTCTTTGGAATCCAGGTCCTATAAACTAGCTAGACAAATCTCTCCAGAGCAGCCTTTGTGGTTTTCAGTTACTTCTTAGTATGCGATCTTAGAGAGTCCATGGAGCTCAACTCTGCCTTTTAAAATGTACCATGTTTCATCTAGCAAATTTGGATGTTCACAGCAAGAGGAATCTTAGGTTATCTTGTCCAAAATTGCTATATGATTACTTATTTAGTGCCTGTCTTCACCAATAGACTACAAGCTTCCTGGACAGCTTCTTGAGTCACTACTGTTATATTTAAGATCAAGCATAGTGTTCACATATTGTAGTAATCAATGCATATTTGCAGAATGAATGAATGAGTAAATGGATATCATTTAACAAATATGTATGAAGGCCTATATTGTGCTAGAATAGAGTAAGCTTACAGATTAGTATGCATTTGGTTAATCCTTCTTGTGTTAGAATAAGTAGCTAGCCATTTGGTAGGGAAAGAAACTGGATTTCTCCCATACTCATGGGGGATGGAGACATAACTTTTGGGTGGATTCAGGATTTAAAATGAAAACCAAAATTATAACAGTACTACAAGAAAACACAGTGGAAAAATTGTAAACCTATCAATTTTATAAATTTTGATACAAAAATTTTAAAACTATTTGCAACCAATATGATGATCAAAGGGATAATTTTCTTTCATGTAATCATTTACAAATACACAAGCTACAGCCCAGTAAAACATTAAGAAAGTGGACTGTAGACTGCAAGGAGAAATTATCAGATAAAGATACATGGCTGGCTTATAAACACAGGACAACATGCTCTGCATCATCAAAATTCAAATAGAAAGAACAGTTGTCATTTTTAGGCCATTAGAAAGCCAATTATAAAAAAAGTTTGTTAAAAAAAAATTTGTTACTTCACACTGTTGGGGGAGTGTGGAAAAACAGATACATTCTATGGGTATGAGGCTGAATTGTTATAATATCCATAGAAGGCAAACTGGTAATCTCTATCAAAAATTTTTAAAAGTTCATATTCTTTGGTCTCTGAGTCCCATTTCCAGAATTTTATTTTATAGACCTACTTTATAATATAGATACCCTATATAGATATGACTACAGTTTAAGTATGCAAAAGAATGTTCAAAGATGTTTCCATTTAACTTCATCTTCTACTTTTGCTACTAATTTCTTTACAGCTTTTATACTCTTCTAAGATGCTTTATGATCTATTTGTGAAAATACTGGGTATGGTATTCTGTGTGTGTAAATGCAAAGAGAAGTAATAAACATATATAAAGATAAGTACAAATGTGTATATGGACACATTTGTACTTATACATAGGTATAACACACATACACTTCTGAGTGGATGAATACATAGGTAGACAGATAACACTATATTCTGGTATTCTCAGCTTTCTTATTGAAAAAGAAATTGATAATTCCACTGATGGAGATAGACGGTGCTATATCATCTTAAGACTGAGTGGGAAGTACAGCTTTTCAACTGCAGTTTTGTAATATCTCCATCAAGAAGACTAATTTTCAAGACCAGAATAAACATTAAAACTACTTGAATATCACCATAGTTCAAGATAGTTTAAGCTATAAGAGATTGTTATTGTTCAAGTGTAATTAATTGTTTCTTGTTTATCCTCCCCCTTCTCCCTTGAGGATTTTATAGCAGAGTATTGAAAATATTTATGGAATTGATCTCAGTACCATTGTCATCTTTTAACAATTATGGAGAACAACTAGGAAAGGCCTGAGAGACTATAGGCAGGCAAATGTTTGAGTAGCTTCTGAGAAGCATATGGATTTTGGAAACTACACATTTATGACTGACACAAATTCCAGGCAAACTGTAGAAGATTGACATTGGACCATCTACAGTCAGGCTTTAAATTTTAATTAATCATCTGTCACTAGGTCTTTTGTGCATCCTCCTCTCTAGTTACCCAAGGTTGTTATCCTCCTTAAGCTTCTCCCAACTCCCGTTCTGGGCTCAAAGCCGTCCTCTCACTCTATTCCCTTCCATCAAGTGCTGCCTGTGTAAACCTCAGTCTTCACTTAAGGTCTACTTCAAAGGCCCCTCAAATGAAACTCACCCTGGAATTAATCTTTCTTCTTTGCTCTTCATGTGCTCTATAAGTACATCTATCATTGAATATAGTTGTCCTACCTACTTAGAGTCATGAAAGTTGAATCTGAAAAGAAAACAAAAAAGCTGAAACTGGAAGGAAGGGTTCTGAGATAGTTCTATTTTTCTCAAGACATTCGTTTTGAGAACAGGATCAGGTCATATCAGTTTTTAAATCTCTGGCTTGACTCCTTCCTTTATCAGGTAACAAAGTGCCTAATTTAGATTGGGAGGGGCACTAGACCTGAAACAATATATCTTCAAGAGGTATGGTATTTCAATTCTAGTATAAGAGTTAATGTGTAAAAGTTTTCTGCATTATTGCACCCTGTGGTACATTTTATAGATCTGGTTAAAGCTTTAATATCAGAGCCATGTATAATTTTAGGTTTATTTAGAGACATTATAAATGACTACGTGGATTTTAGGGACAGTTTTCACTAGTTTATTGGATGGCATTTGGTTTTCACAAGTTGTTTTATTACCGAATCATCTAGTCAAAGCAGCACACATTGGCTATTTACTTTTTCTTACTTTAAACTCAACTAGCTACACTTAAATATTAAAGACATTATCTCATGTCATTTTTCTGGAATAGTGTCGGTGTCTCTAGAAGCTGTGTGCCAATTAAAAAGAAGTTGCCTAACAAAACAGCAACTCCTACCGTCCACTCCTAATTATTACAGTTGATTTTGTTATTTTGCAATTTTATTCCAGTAGGTGTCAGTGCTGAGTTCAGTGAAAAAAATTCTTTTTTCGAGTGCAAAATTTTAATTAGAAGAATATAAAAGATTCAGACGATGAGGAAGAAACAGAATAGTTATATCGCTTATTTGTTAAAAGTTCAAAACTCTTTCCTGGAGGATCAAAAGAGACAGGGTCTCGCTATGTTGCCCAGGCTGGAGTACAGTGGCTATTCACAGGCGCGATCCCACTACTGATCAGCACGGGAGTTTTGACCTGCTCCGTTTCCGACCTGGGCCGGTTCACCCCTCCTTAGGCAACCTGGTGGTCCCCCGCTCCCGGGAGGTCACCATATTGATGCCGAACTTAGTGCGGACACCCGATCGGCATAGCGCACTGCAGCCCAGAACTCCTGGGCTCAAGCGATCCTCCAGCCTCAGCCTCCCGAGTAGCTGGGATTACAGGCGCGCGCCACCGCGCCCGGCGATCACAGAGCAGCGCAAGACAACACTTGAGGCTGAGGTGTGGTGACGTCATCAGCTGTGCCCGCCTAGAATATTTCCAAGCCTCTCCCCGCCCCTGCGACTCCGTAGACACATTGCGCACGCACCATTTATCAGCGCTGCCTTCTGGGTAAACTGTCCTAAAATTTTGAAGAGCGCATGCGTACGCTTTCTCGTTCCTTTTACCTCGTTGCAGCCGAGAAAGCAACATGGGTCACCAGCAGCTCTACTGGAGCCATCCGAGAAAATTCGGCCAGGGTTCTCGCTCTTGGTGAGAAACAGAATGTGGCTGTATGGAAGGGTTGATTTGGGGCGCGACGCTGTTTGAACCAGAATGTAGAGGACCCCACGGGCGGCGCGTGGGGGGAGACGGAATCGGAGAGGTGGCTGCCGCCATTTACAGGCCTCGGATGAGTCCGTGGTGACCTGCAGTGCGAGTGGTGGCCCCCCCCACGCCGAGTGCCGATACTTTACTTTCTGTGACTAATGATAATGCCGTTTCTTTTTGCAGCCGGGTTTGCTCAAACCGGCACGGTCTGATCCGGAAATACGGCCTCAACATGTGCCGCCAGTGTTTCCGCCAGTATGCGAAGGACATCGGCTTCATTAAGGTACGTTGGCGGACGCCATGGTCTCCTGTTTCGGGAGGGGCCGACAAGCCGGCAGTTGGGTGTTGGCGTTTGATCAACGCCGTTTTTCTTTTTAGGTAGCAGGGCTCTTCCTTTGTAGCGGACAACACAGTTGAGAGGCTCGGCAGTCATCTTATTATTGGGAATGTGAAGGCGTGGAAAAGTAGTTTTTCTAATACCTTTTTACCCACTTCTGTTAGTTTTAGGTGCTATATGTAATGTTGGGTAAACTACTTTTCAGAAGTCGCTAAAATGAAACATTAGATCACTAATCACATCTTGTTAATTTTCGGCAAAATACATGCCTTGACCGCTGCCCTGAAATAACTGAATAGGGTCATGTAGTGGAATGAGCTTGAGGTTTGGGGCTAGATAGATCTTTTTAGGATTCTGAGGTCTGTCATTTAATAGTCATGACTTTGGTCAGGTCACTCAAAGTTTTAAGTTTTTTCCTGTGAAATAGTAGGGTTGTTGCAAAGATTATATGTGACGGTTTCTTGGCTCCTAAAAGTCACTTAAATGTTTTTTTTCTTTAAGTTGAAGATTAATTTCTAAGTGGCTCTTTGAGATATAAAATTCTGTCGCTACCTTTTTATTAGTAATTAGAATGCAACAATGTTGAGTACAACGTATTTGTTTAAATTAGAAGCTCTTATGTTGAAGTATTGCCGTGGGTATAATTTGTTAATAGCGGAGATGAATTGTTAATGTGCGATTTCTGTGACAAAGTATCTTAAGCTTAAACTTTTGATTTTGACCAGATACTTAAAAAATACTTGTTTAGTGTTAATTATGGAAGTTGAAATAACTCTATCACAGATGGGAGAATGGACTCATGTCTGCCAGTTTTGTGATTAAGAGATTAAGAAGAAATGAATTGATTTATGAATGTCTTTAGAATAGTGTCTGGCACACAATGAGTAACAAAATATTAGCTGTGTAATTAGTTACTACTTAATGACAGTCCTGAGCTTTTGGTAAGGATAATTTTCTGAAGCAATGTTTTTCTACTGGGAAATTTCTTTGATGGTAGAAGTGGGAGTCCCAATACTAAAATTAAGTTACAGATCAAGCTGAGATTCATGGAGCAGCTTGTAATAGGTGTTCAGTAAATATTTAAGCTATTTAGGTCTGGATTACTAGTTGGGTGGGTCAGATTTCCAGTTTAAACGTCATTCTACAATGAACCATTTCTTTCTGAGAATAAAATGGATATTTAAGGCATTTTGAATTAATTCATTTTCTTTTTTTTTTTTTCAGTTGGACTAACTGAACTTCCTTAGATGGCTCATCCAGCACATCAACCTTAGGTGGAAATAATACTAGCTCTTTGTATATAAAATAAAAGTTTTCAAAACTTCAATTATGAGTGAAATCTTTTAAAAATTTACTTCTCTGGATTCAACTTAAAAATACTTTATTTTCCCTGGCTTATGCAAAAGTATTCATGCTGAACTCTTGTAATGTCAGTTTTAGCTTTATACTTCAAAAAAGCCATTTTTTGTTAGTTAGGGTGCCCACTACATATAGCAGCATCCAGCATGTAACCTGAGACAATTGGCCTCTTGAGTAGTTGCTGTCATTTAGATCTGCTCTGGGGGGAAAAAAAAAGACCTGCTCTGAGCATTTACCTAGTGTTTAGTAATCCTGGCTTTTGGGATAATTCACCAATTTACAAGAAAGCTTGTAAATTTCTCAACGTGTTTGGGTGAGGTGATTAAAAGTGAAATGGGTCTTATGAACAAAAGTAGCTTTTAGTGGGGCAGGGTTTAACAGAAAAACAAGTCTATCAGAATAGGCAGCATGAAAATTGAGCTAGTCAACTAGCACACAAGTCAAAATGACTTCTGAAGAGGAAGACAGGATTTGTTGAGGATTAGGTGTGGGAGAGAACCAAGAGTGATTCTAAGGGTTTTGGCCCGAACAACTGGAAGGGTTACTCTTAAGCTAGGACTGAGAAGGTAGCTTGGTTTAGGGAAGAAAAAGTTGAGTTTCAAGCATATTGAAATTAAATGCTTATTAGCCATTTATGTTAAGCTCTGAAGCAGGCATTCATCTGGGATTCACAGGAGCCTATCTGGGGCTCCCTCTGGAGCCCACTGTGGTGTGAGGATCTTGCAGTGCGTGGTGTGGCATTGTCTCTGAATAACCTGGAGAAAGAAATGGCAACCCACTCCAGTGTTCTTGCCTGGAGAATTCCATAGAGTGTGGTGTGGGGTCACAGAGACAAGACTGAGTGACTAACCCTGAACTGAACTGAACTATGACAAGATAGACTTGTCTGGTTGTTCTCAGGTTATGAATAGTGTCTGCTGTTTGGGGATCTCATTTTCCTGACTGGGTGAGATCTTATCCCTAAAGTCTAGACATTAAATGATAAACATGAGAAGGCTGTTCTGGGTTATTCCCAAGAGCAGGTAAAATGAAGATTCAACAGTAGGAGAGGCAAAAAAGTGGTATGTTAGAAAACTTCAAAAACAGTTGAACACAGTGTAAGACTTGAAAGGAGCTCATGGAGGTTAGGGATCCTGAAGCTTAGGTCTCAAGAGCTTCATGGTAAATTCAGCTCTTACTGGCCCTGAGTTGCAGGAGTACATGGTAATTCTGTGGTGGACTTCTAATGAAATTTTAAGTGTTCCTGGGAAAGTGTTTAGGGAACAGGTTTCAAACAGGGTAAGGGAGTGGATAGAATTTTAGGAGAGGAGATAAAACAGGAAAGTTTTCTATGTTACAGATAGAGTGGCTGGGTGAGAAGCAATACCAGCTGAGCAAGAGTAAAAAACTTTAGGTGAAGAGGAGAGGCCTAAACAGTGATTTAAGTAAATGAAGTGATATGTTTGGGTATGAGAACTGGGGGAAAGATGAACACTGCTCTAGTGGGATAGTCCTACGTAAATGTTCCTGTAAGAATTGTGTGTTAGTTGAGAATTAATTGGAAGGGAACATTCTCTAGTCAGTCCTGGCCCTGTGGGTGTGGCGGGTAGGAAGGCTGGTGTGAGCAGATGGTCTCTATTCAGAGTTGAATAACTTACTGTTAAAGATTATTTTAAAATGTATGTGCCCCAAGGTTGTATATAAATGATGACAACAAAAAAAATAAAAATGTTTGTGTGAGACATTATGCTAAGTGCTTTTATGTGTATTATCTTTTTCGAGTCTCAATCCACTGTGGATTGATATACCCACATTGTGGATATCCACATTTGTGGATATCGTTACAAAGCTAGAGATTAAACAGTTTTTCTGAAAGTCTTCCTAAGTTAGAATGGCATCAAGACTGGAACTTGAGACTGACATCAGTGCTAATATTCTTAATAGCCACAGCACACTTATTTTAAGGTTGAAAGACTGTACCTCTTGTCCCCAAAGATGAATTTACATGACAGGAAGTACTATTTTAAGGTTGAAAGACTACCTCGTCCCCAAAGGATGCATTTACATGATAATAAGTTATCTTCATATTTACCATAGCATGTAACATTATACATTGTGTATTAATAGATACTGAATTGTTGGAAGAGTTGAATTAAATTTGCTAGTAAAAGGTTGATAATTTTTTTTTTCTTGACCACACCTTGCAAGTGGGATGTTAATTCCCTGACTAGGGATTGAGCCTGGGCCCTTGGCAGTGAGAGTTTGGAGTCCTAACGACTGGACCACCAGGTAAGTTCAAGCTCAATAATGTTGGTGGCAAAACACAATAGATTCTACAGGAGAGGTTTAAACTGCCATTAAAACAAAGAGTATATGGTCTTAGGTTGAATTACTGAGTTTGGACTAAATGGACATGTTAAAGGACCTGTTGAAGATTTTACTTAACTCATTAATGAAACCAGTAAGATTTTTCTACCAGTTCAAAGGAGAATTTTCTGAAAGCATCACAATAGATGAATCAAGGATTTCTATAATGAATTTATAAAGAAATGTAAAACTGGATTTTTTTTTTTTAAACAGAAGGGAAGTCTGTTATCCACCAGACAATGTGCGTGAAGTCTTTCACAGTAGTTCTCCATAGACTTAATGCTTTTACCTAAAATTGATAAGACTTTGAGTGAATGCTGTGCCAGGCACTGTTCTTAATGCTTTACTTAAATTAACTCCTTTAATAAAACAACTCTGAGGCATAATAGTATATTATCAGTGATTGCCTTTGGGTCATAGAGTTAAGAGGTGATTTGCTCTAAAGCATCAGATTAAGATTTGTTTTAGAGGTGGGGTATCCAGTGATGCAGTTTAGAGTGCTCCAGGTAACAACTTTGCTAATTAGGCTTCTGCTCCTCCCCACACATCTGATTCTATCTTTAGATTGCTCTGAGAGCAAGTTCTTGTTATTTCCTTTTCACTGATTTCCACCCATTGATATTGATTCTATGTGGTCCTATATAAAACAAGTCTAATCTTTCTTCTGCAAGAAAACTGGTTAATTATTTAGGCATGAGGATTCTCATCTTCAGAAACCTTATTTCAGGTGAAACCATTCCTGATTATTTGAACTGTTCCTTATAGGATCTGATTTAAGGGTCATCTTTGGTGTTCTCTGATTTCCACTCCAGCTAGATCCTAACAGTGACCAGCATATCATGTTTCATAGGACAGGCATGCAGAAAAAAATACAATGAATGAATGAGCAGATTTGGTAATGACTTTAATCTGGTTGGCCATCATTACTTTTTCACTTTTTATGGACCCTTTTTACTGTTTCAGAAAAACTAGAGATCCTGGCCTTCAACAGCTATCTATATGGCTAATGCCTCTGATAATTTTAAATTAGCTTGCTCTGCATAACCTCTGTCTGAGACATAGTTCTTGTTGAAAACTATCCTTAAAACTTGGTACCATAGAGGATTGGTCTTTTGGGTAGGCAGAATAAAGCTGTTCTAGTGGAATGACTAAGGGTAAAACAGGGTGTTTGAATTTCCTCAATATCCACAAAAATTGAAAAAGGAAAAAAGAGAAGGCTGAGCTACTAGATATTTCTCAAGGGTTAATCTAGAAAATTAAAGGCTCAGTTTGTTGATATCACTGGGTATATACAAGGGTAGCAATCAAAGCTATATAGTGGCTAAAGAGTAGATTATTGG